GATAAATGGAGGTTGTTTGGAATGTTGAGTGGAGCTCGCCTTTGTTTGACTCCCTTGATTGTCAATAGAGTTCACCTAAAAGATACTCCAGACTGACTTTCTTTTATGTGTTCCTTGGAGTGGCCAAGGAAGACAAACATTGTTTCAAACACCAGTGCAGGCTGGGATGCTAGCCATGTCTCTGAAAGGGAGGAAGGGGAAAGAAAAAAGGTAATCATTTGAGTGGTTGATGCAAACCAGCATTTGAACAGTCTTCTGTGAGTCAAATCCTGGGTTCACAAAAACTATAGTTAATAAAACTGGGATTTGTATTACATTTGAACTGAGCCTTAGACTATTTAGCTGGCTATAAATATTGTAGCAGTGACTTTGGGCCACAGTCGGTATTAGGCCTGCCACAGCAGAAAGGGCTATTTCATAGCTGTATGTACATTGTAACTATAACTTTTTCATGCTCAGTTTCCCATTACGGTTTATTGGCAATGGAGTCTCTCTTTATAGTTCATTGACATAATCCTGGTCAGCATATATCAGGAAGCCAGTAAAAAGGCTGTCTGTCCAGTAGGGATCATAAAAAAGTCCATTCTGTTCAGAGTAGAAGATCTGCAGCCAGACTTCATCGTCCTGTTTTAGAGAAAGAATAGTTGACCCAGAAGCTACATCATGGTTACCAGTGTTGGCATCAAACGTTTTTATCCGATACTGTCCATTGTGCACCAGCCCGATAGCCAAATGTTTATTGGCCAAAGTGATATCATAGGTAAAGTAGTAGATGCCAGGGATACTGCATACAAATTTCCCACTAGAAGCATTGTAATGCCCACCTTCATTCATCAGGATCTTGTCAAACTTGATGGGCAGTCTCTCCCTTGGGTAGCTTTTGGTCACTGCAACGGAGAACGCTGACTTGGCTTTGCTGGCCCCACAGCTGCAGGGCCCTGGCATCCCAATGTCGCCCCGTGCTCCTTTGGGACCTTTCTTTCCTGGTGCTCCATTTTTCCCGGGGCTTCCTTTCAGACCCTTCAGACCACGGAGACCAGCCTTGCCAATGGCTCCGGCTTTTCCTTTTGGCCCTGGTTTGCCTGAGTCTCCTGCTTTGCCTTCTGGACCTAAGAGACAAATCAGCTTCAGTGAGTCGTCATATGAGTGATTTGAATGCAATGTGTCATTGTCATGACACCTTTAGGCTGTTTCTGGATATTGCTATGATGGAACATCACTGGACATTTTTAGTGATGGTAGCTCTGGGATAGGAAGTACCCCAAAGAACAGGTGCTTCCTATTGTGTTTTTGAGTTATTGCCAGCAGCGGTTGTGCTGCCTGTGCTCATCCTAGATTGCCAACTCCAGTTTGGGAAATTCCTTGAGATTTGGGGGTAATGCATGGGGAGGGCAGAGTTTGAGGAAGGGAGGGAGCTCAAGCAGGATGTAATTCAAGAGAGTCCACACCCTGAAGCTGCCAGTTCCTCCGGGGAACTGATCTCTGTAGTTTGGAGATCAGTTGTAATTCTGAGAAAACCTTGAGTTTGGTAACCCTAGCTCATCCTGCTAGAAAATCAGAATACATCAGCATCCTGTACACAGAGAATGTATCCTTTAAGAAGACTGGGGCCCCGGTCACACGGAAGGTTTTGGGCCGGGAGAGGGACGGATCGGGGGCGCAGCAAATGGGCGCGATCTCACCGCAGCATCTGGGAAGCGGCGCGCACCCATCCCCGATCCGGCCCTAACCCCGGAAAATCTGCTGCAAAAAAGAACCTCCTACAGAGGAGGACTTACCTGCAGCACCGCAGCAAGTGCGGCCGTGGGATCGCCGCCGCGCCCATTGTGCATATCAATCCCGGCTCCCCGCCGAACTGCGCATGCACACACATGCGCAGTTCAGCTGCTGCGCTCTTCTTTCTGTGGCTTCCCCCCAGCTTCTGATTGTGCCGGGGAGGAAGTGCGCAGCGGCTCAGGGGATCTATGTGATCCCGCCACCGCGTGTTTCTTTTGGTGCAGCTTTAAAAAGCCGCACTTTGCCCGTCCTCCCCCCTCCATGTGGCAGGGACCAAAGAATGTTTATAGTAGGGTAAAGAGTAACACTGACTTGGAGGAAAGTGCCAGTGCCGGCCAAATGGATCTACAGAATAAAGTAAAGGTAAAGGTTTCCCTTGCATGAAAGCTAGTCAAATCCAACTCTAGGGGGCGGTGCTCATCCCCGTTTCCAAGCTGAAGAGCCAGCGCTGTCTGAAGACATTTCCGTGGTCATGTGGCTGGCATGACTAAACACAGAGGTACATGGAACATTTCCCTTCCCACCTTCTTACTGGAGCGGTACCCATGTATCTACTTGCAATTTCTTGCTTTTGAACTGTTGGCTGGCAGGAACTCGGGCTAGAGACAGGAGCTCACTCCGTCATGCAGCACTAGGGTCTTGAACTGCTGAACTACAGACCTTCCGGTCTGTAGCTCAGCATCTTGACCTCTGAGGCACTGCGGCCCCTCTACGGAATACAACCCAATAAATTCCCTCCCAATGAAACCACAATTAAATTAAAAACAAGCAATTAGAATTACAAAGAAGCAAATAAACTTCTGGAGCCCTGTTTCCTCCTTATCCAAAACAAAAATGTTTTCTCTGCCATGGGAAAGAAAGGAGAAAGGAAGCCAGGTAAATTTCTCTGGGGAAGGTATGCAAATGTGTAGAAGAAACTGCTTACCACCTGCCTCGGTTTAAATGGTAAAGGTACTTGGAACAGGACTTCCAGTGATTATTTTAGTAGATGGTGGATGGTGGTGGTGGGTTCTTCAGAATTTGGTGGCGGAAATGCTTATTAAAAAAACCCCAAGACCTCCCCCATTTTATTTCTTCATCTGCCTGATGTGGATTTCCCTGCAGTTTGTAAATTCTTGTGTGATTCAGAGAGATGTGAAAGGGAGCAGCTACTTACCTTCCTCTCCAACCTCTCCTTTCTCCCCATCCTTTCCATCCTGTCCATCTCTCCCTGGGAAGCCCATCCTTCCCATAGTCCCAGGAGAACCTGGAGCTCCTGGCGGGCCTGGAGGGCCTTGGGGTCCTGGCATGCTGCAGACAAGTTGCCAGGAGCCTTTCTGGCTTTCTGCTTTTACAAAGCTACTGAGAAGATGGTTAGCGATGCAAGGCATAGTCCAGACGAACAGAACCAGGAAGATCATGATGGAGCCTGTAAAAAAAAAAGAGGCTATTAAAACAGCAATCATATAGGCCACCTTTCAGCTCACAGAAAGTGAAAATAACAGGACTGACTTCTCTAATTCATTTTTTTCCTTCAAGGTGCTAAGGGCAGCACACATGAGTCCCCTTTCCCCAGCTTGGGCTTGTTTAACAAAGGGCTGAGTAGGGGCTTTAGAAAAGAGCAAGAGTCCAGTAACGACTTAGAGGGTGCGTTCAGATGGGGCGTTTCAGCCACCATAAACTGTACCGGTTGGAACCGGTGCAGTTTATGCCGGCTGAAACGCGATCACACTTACCTCCCTCACAGCGGAGCCCATCGCTGTATGCCCGTTCACATGCTGCGGGTGTCAGCATTTTTTTTTAAAACTCAATTTGAGCATGCGCATAGGCAGCCATCCACAGAATGGCGATCTTTGCGCATGCTCAAAACACCCCGTATTACATTTAAAGTTTAAAGGTAAGGACTTACCTTTAAAGTTTAAAGCCCAAACTGGCCTCCCTGAAGTCCCGGACTCCTCCGGAAAGTTAAACTAAGGGCCTTTTCTTTTTTTTAAAAAACAAATGCCAGGACGAGGCTTTGCCCAAGCGCATATCGGCAACCTAAAAAAAAAAAAGGCAGGCGAAAATCGGAAGCCTCGGGCTTCCGAACGGAAGTGGCTAGACACCGGGGGAGAGCGATCAGAAGGGGGTGTGGCAGGGCATCAGCTTTCATGAGTCAGTGACTCTCATAGCCTGTCACAAATTTTGTTAGTCTTTAAGGTGCTACTGGACAGTTACTCTTTTTCTACTGCTATAGACAGACTAACATGGCTACCCATCTTGAGGAGAGGCTTGATTGAGTTATGTTGGGGAGTGGAGGAGATGTGGCCAAGTTGAGAGGCTCCCTTATTATCCTGCAAGAGAGCCAGCGTGGTGTAGTGCTTAAGAGTGGTTAAGTTCTAATCTGGAGAACCGGGTTCGATTCCACTTCCTCCACAGGAAGCCAGCTGGGTGACCTTGGGTCGGTCATAGCTCTTTCAGAGCTCTCTCAGCCCCCCCCCAAAAAACAAGTCTAGCTTGCCACCTAGTGGTGCATAACACTAAAAGAGCTACAACTTCAGGCTGCCAGACAATCTTGGGATCTCCTGGCTACACTACACACAATGCCATATAGTAATCATAATAATTATTGTCCTGCACACTTGAGTCCTTTCTTTTGGGCAAAAGGGTGTGGTGAAAAGTGCTTGGATTGCTGTTTCCATGGAGCTTTCAGGCAGGTGGTCTACTTCCTGCTGGGAGGGCCCTGGGGCTATCTCTGCCCACCTCCAGGCCTCTGGCAGCCCTATCATAGGGTTGCCAGCTCCAGATTGGGAATGTGGAGATTTTGGGGTAGAACCTGAAAAGGGAGGGGTTTGGGGAGGGGAAGGCCATAGAGTCCATCTTCCAAAGCAGCCATTTTCTCCTGGCGAACTGATCTCTGTTGCCTGGATCTCCCGCCACCACCTGGAGGCTTAACCAAAAAACCAAACAAAACATTCCTTTGGGGCTTCTGCCTCATTAAAACACCGCAATTAGGAGCAATCATAACCGTTCTAACAAGGTTTTAAAGTATCCATACTTATTTTACAGCAATATCCCAATACATAGTACCAATATGGTTAAATTAAAACAAACAAAAAAATCAAATAATTTTTCCTTTTTCTTTTGGGGCCTCATCCTCATTAAGATCCTATGATTTGGGGGCAGCCATAGCTTTTGTTTTAAAGACTCCATGTACATCTCACAATAATGTCCCAATGCAGACTGTCATAGCACTGGTATAGTACTAAAATCCTGCAGTTTAGAGCAGCCATAACACTTCTAGAAATGTTTTAAAGTGCCCATGCTTATTTATCAGCATTACAGACAGTCATAAGACTAGTGTGGTTTAACCAACCCCCCCCAGTCTTATGACTGTCTGTAGTGTTGATAAATAACCACCTGGAGGCTGGCATCCCTTTTGGAGAGGCTCATAGCGAGGGCATATATAGGGGTCCCTGTGGGGGAATCTGTTGGGTATCAATAACACAAATCAGAATGAAAGGGAAAATTAAATGAGGTACAGAATCCGGTTTAAACTGGGACACCAAGGCACTCAGTAGTATATGTAACATGTGCATATAGGAAACTTGCTGCTTTTAAGGAGGGAGGCACTCCAATCCACACCTTTAACACCAGCCTACTGGGCAGAAATCAACAGGTGCAACTTTCCTTTTCATTGCATTTCCATTATAGGAAATAAGGCTTTTTTCTTTTCTTTTTTTTAATCTGGCCGTTATGTCACTTCTTAGTCCATAAAACAAGCTTTTCTGCTCTTCATTTTTGGGTTCCTTTCCTTGGGAGTTTTATCTTACTGAAATATCAGGGCTTCCTGGATGGGAAGTTTCATATCCAGAAATATATTATATTAGGGTTTGGAATGGTGTGCCCACTATATTTCACACTGCATGCTTTTAAAATCTTTTTAAAAAATGCCTGTTCTGAGCTGTAGTGAAGGTAGGACTAACAGGGAAGAACTGGTTGATGAAGTGAATGTTGTGGGATCCTTGGGGAATAGTGACCACGTCAGCTTGGAATTTGACATAGAGAAGGATGTGAAACCAGGACATAGTAGAACTCGGATCCTGGACTTCAGGAAAGCTGATTTCAAAAAACTCAGAGAAATATTAGGTAGGATCCCGTGGCTGTAAATGCTGAGGGGGAAATCTGCAGAGGAAGGATGGGTGATGCTGAAAAATGAAGTGCTTAAGGCACAATCGCAAACTGTTCCAGTAAGAAAGAAAGGTGGGAGACGGGTAATGAAGCCGAGGTGGCTGAACAAGGAACTCTCTGAAGAGCTGAGACTGAAAAGGGAAATGTACAGGAAATGGAAGGAGGGTCAGTTTACTGAGGGTGAGTACAAGAAGCAGGCTCGAATCTGTAGGGATGGTGTCAGAAAGGCTAAAGCGCAGATAGAGCTGCGGCTTGCGGGGGAAGCTAAAAACAACAAGAAAAATTTCTATGCCTATGTTTGGAGCAAAAAGAAGAATAGGGATGGAGTAAGCTCATTGCTAGGGGAAGACGGTCAAGCCTTAACAAGGGATAAAGACAAAGTGGAATTACTCAACTCTCACTTTGAGTCAGTCTTGAACTGTAAGGCGAGCTGTATGCAAACTGAAGAATGCAGGGCATATGAACGAAGAAGAAATTGCCAGTCCAGAGTAAGTAAGTAATTGGTTAGAGAGCATCTAGCTGCCTTAAATATTTTCAAATCTCCAGGGCCGGATGGCTTGCATCCCAGGGTGCTAAAAGAAATTGCAGATGTTATTTCAGAGCCTCTGGCTTTAATCTTTGAGATGTCCTGGAGTACTGGTGTTGTGCCGGAAGACTGGAGAAGAGCTAATGTTGTCCCGATCTTCAAGAAGGGAAAAAAGACAGACCCGGGAAATTACAGGCCTGTCAGCTTGACATCCAATACCTGGGAAAATTCTAGAGCAGATTA